TCCAACTGAATGGGAGGACCTTACCACCGAAAAGTTGATCGACCTGGATGTGGACATCGGGCGCATCAGAGTGCCGTGACGGTTGATGGCGGGTCGATTTTGTTGTTTATTTTGCTCCGCTGTGCCCCCCCAGTTCCTCAAAGAAGTCATACACTGCAACGCAGGACCATGGAATCAGAATTTGAATTCCCGGAATTGTTCGATTTGTCATTTTCATAACACAAGTTACAAGGGAGGCCACTGGCGTTAGTCAGGAGCTGAACAATTTTGAGACATCCAAGGTTAAAGAGACATGGGCCTTCATTTGGCCTAGTAGTGGAGCCTGGTTGGAAGCGGGTTTTGGACTCACTGTGCTGAAACAGTTTGTTTAGATGGATTCATCCAAGGTGCTGCCTTCCAACAGTGGCTCTGCTGATGGGTCTCGATGGGTCAGCACAGTCGGGTCCATCGGGTCCATCGGGTCCATCGCGCCGTTTTCGTGCTCGTCCTCCCCTGCGAGATTCCATGAGTCAGGGGCAGTGGGACCTGTTCGAATCCCTTTTTCGCTTGCGGACAGGCCTTTCTTTCTCTTCCGTTCATGCCCCAAGCAGTAGGTTGTGCAATATTCAGAGACCAGGGATTTATATATATATAATTATATATAAATGATATTATATAAATGATCATACATTAAATTACTTAAAATATATAACACATTTCGAGTATTGCCTAACGCTATATTAGCAACTGCCAAAACCTCCGATGAAGGCAGCATCACTACAGTGAATACTAAGTAAGTAAAGTGAAGGAACGATAAGGTCACAAAAAAGATAAGGTTTTAGTACGTGTTGTTAGGTGTGTCCAAACCCTCAGGAACGATGAGGTTCACAGAAAAACAATAACGTTGGGAAGAGTGCGCACTACAACGCATAAGAGGTTTTGCACGTCGCTCATATATATATATATATATATATGGTACCCCCCCCAAAACCAGCACTTTCATGCAAATAGGGGAGGTGGGGGGTACCAACAAATCTGAATCTGCAATGTGCATGTGGCGTTTGATCAAAATGCTAAATGAACATCTTCCTACATCTGATCAAATATATATGTTTAATATAAACTATATACTAGTGGTATAATTTTTTGTTTTTTTGAGCCTGCCAGCATTTTTGCAAGGTGGGGTAGACCAAAAATTGAAAAAACACTGACAGGCTCAAAAAAATCAAAAATGTCAAAAGGCCATAGTCACAAAACCCTGGCAGGCTCAAAAAAAATTAAAAAAAGAAACAAACGTTTTAGAATCTATGGGGGCTCTGGGGGGGGTGTAATTTTTTTTTGATTTCATTGAGCAATACGGCCCTCGAAGCCATCACAGCAACACCCAACTGCGATGGATCACAAAGCAACTCATCTCTGAGGATTCTCCCATCAAAGACTGGCCCGAGAGATTGATCAAAGAAGCTCTGAGGAACCTCATGACCGATGGAGTCTTAGCTTTGCCCGTGCATGGCTTCCCCCTGACACTTGTGGATGTGAACCCTTCTGTCCTCTTCATCTAGTTCTTCCCTCTTTTCAGGGACAAAGCACTTTTGGCATGCATGGTGATCCCAATGTGGGAAAGACTCCACTTGGAAGGATTGTCGCAATGGCCATGTCCCGGTACTGGGTGCGGAAGGATCTGCAAGGCAAAATGAGCTGTTTTGCCAATGCATCCAAAGGCTTCATCTGTTGTACATCTGCTTGGCCATCAAGAACAAATCTGCTTTCAATACATCTGCTTTATCATCAAGGACAACTCTCACACACAAGCAAGAAATTTTGTCTGAAAACGTTGGTTTTTTGGGGGGTAGCATCATGTAGCATCTCTCTCTCTATATTATATATATGTAGTTTCTTGCATCCATGGTAAATCAACGGCAATCTCATGAAGAATGGATGCGTGCTTGTCCGGGTTTGGGTGGCCGCATTATGCAAGTGGCACTTGCAGCCCAGATCAACTTATTTATCAATGATTCAAGTTTTAGGATGGGTGCTACTGCTGCCGGAGCTTAAAGCGATGCTGATCCGGTACAGGATGTCACCATTTTTTGCATGCTTTTCCGGGTTCACCAGCTCTCCTCTTCGGCCAGCCGCGGCCGGCCTCTTCACTGCCAAGGCTGGTACAGGTCCTTCCTCGAGGTCTGGGTGCCCTTTCCGGGAGGTCACTGCGGTACCCGCGACTTTGGACCGACCTCCCCACAGCGAACCTCGCGGAACGGCGCCACGGCGAGGGCACCACCGGAGTCACCGGGGCCGGACACGGAGTGCACCGACACGGAGTCGGTGGGGAACCCGACCGACGGCAGCTTGAAACTCGCTGACTCATGGCGTTGCAACTGGATTTTCCGTGAAATGGGTTGACTACATCCAGATTCTTTAAAAGAGATGGGGGGGAGATGAGCGGGGGGTAGGATTGCAACATCTTATTTACTGTGTTAGTATGTAGATATATTAGACTGGAGCCATCCAGGCTCACTTCTTTCACAGTCGCATGTTTTTCCCCAGAAGTCCTCGACTCCACCACAGAATCCGAGGAAGTCTTCGCGGATTCTTTGGAAGCGCACATCTTCAGATGTAAGACACTCTCAGAAGAGAAACTTGGCATTTGTCTCATTTTGCCCCATCCTGTCTCATGTTTCGTGAACCTCTTTGTGGGTGGGAGCGGATCAACCCTGGAACTGAAATCCAACGGATGGTGGGCTGCCCCCCAAAAAACTTCCGGAGTCACCTGACGCAAACTCCCCACATCTAGCGGAAATAGAATCACAATTAATTTGGCTTTCATAAAATCACAATCCCACGTACCGGTTCTACACGGAGACCCGCGGTTTTGGCACTGATGATACGACCACGGGGAAGATGCACGGGGGGTACAGACAATTCACGACCTCTACGCGGATTGATGATTGATGATTTCATATGATTTCCTTGACCCGACGATCTGGCATCATCGTCATCGGGGTGTGCACCGTGCCGACTCTTCCCAAAAGGAACATCGCTCACACTGCCAAACCTTGAGGAAATCATAATATAGGGTTGGAACGGTAGGTCCTCTTCAACTTGGGTGAGAACTTCTACCCTTTTCCACCCCTTCATACAAATGCGATGGTCACTGTGTTCAAGGAGGTCTATTGGGGTGAGCACAACATACCAACTCGACTATGAACATGCCATGTTTCAAGCTCCTATTTAGAAGTTATCCAACGGAAAATTAATTCATACCACTTACTCGTTAATATATGCTGAGACATTGCCAGCACAACCAAAAAAAACCTTCACACTTAAATGCGTTATATAATTGGTTACTTATGTGTCATGCTTTCCCTCGTGCAGCATGGTGTTTGCGGATGTTTTGTCCAAGAGTCATCACCGAGCAGACGGAGCCAGGAAGACGATGCTCGAGGAGGAGCGAGATGCCATTGAACAACTCCATGAAGTGAGGGCCTCACCCCGAGGCAAAGACATGGCCTTGGCGAAGAGGCCCGGCGAGTCAGGGGAGCTGAATTCAAAAGCAACGGGTAATATCGGGTAATTAAGGTTATTGTTTGGATGGATCAGCTCAAGAGACGGTAGACCAAAAAGATGTTGCTTTGTTGTGGTCTCTCTCTCTCTGTGTTGAGTAAGCAGGCCCTCCAACCAATAGATGTTTGATGGTTTTGCATTCAACTACGCACAATATGCATAATAGATAGATAATAGATAGATAGACAGACAGACAATAGATAGATAGTTAGATAGATAGATGGATTAGATCACTCCTACTTGCCCGGGCAATGTCTTGTCCATTGCCTTTTAAAGCTTTGGGACGGCGCACCTCCCCTCTGTTCACCTTTGGTTTTACCATGTTTTACCCCCCTTCACTTGGGCCTGTTTGTCAAAACGTTGGTCTTGTGGAGGCTCGGTTTCTGTTTGCCTTGCAATTGCCTCAGGCAAGTTGCAAACTGTTGAATTCCCACTGCCGCAGATAGGGTTGTTGAATGTCTAGAGGCCTAAATTTAACCCCTGGCTATGGTAGTTACTAGTTGGCAGATTTGGAAGGGGGCGACAGATTTACTCGGCCACAGCGTCAACGTTTGTTGCGCAGACCCAGGCTCTTCCTGCAACTTTTGCGCACGCCCTTCTGGATGAAGTGGACCGGCCCTCTGCAGGGGGAGAGCCCCGCAAGAGTGAGGAGAGTCTCGCCGAGGGCCGGGGTGCGCCTCGGCGACATGTGCTGACGCGCAGCATCGTGCAGCTCAAGGCATTGTGAGCGGAATGAGTCCACGTGCACATGTATAGTTAGTATGAGGCTTCTTTGTCTCATAGTGTTCACAGGCATTTTGCAATGCATAATTAAAGTTGAACAAGTTCTGCTTGACGCTAATTCTTTTCAGCATTGTTGTTTCGGGGTGTTGCTGGCTGGTGCAGGTTCGGGTGGTTTTCTTGAAGTAGAACATGTATAGTAACATGTATAGTGAACGTTATAACATATATATATATATTAAATATATAGTTTACATATTTATGTGTGTATATATATACACACTATATAACTACTGCATATGTACACAATGAATGCTTTCAAACGCTCAAACAGCAATCGCTTGTGGTCCGTGCGATATTTTTTGGCCGGATGACTGAGGTTCTTCGAGCGCTTGGAAATTGCTTGATTGTTTGAAACGCTTGGTTTATAGGTTCAGGTTCGCTGGCAGACGTGTTGTACATAGTGGCAGCGGATAGCTCATCCAAGATGGGTAGATCTATACGCTCCAATCCGCTGGACAGGAAGCGAGTCCTCGGCCGCGAAACATGTTAGGCTGAAAGGTCTGTGGAGATGGGGCAAGTGACTGAGGGCCTTACTTTTTGCCAGCATAATGAATCTATCAGGATTAATGACATTTAAGAACACATAGTGTGGCGTGGAGTATGTTTGGGGTAGCATGTTGGCGCTTGAGCGTGTCCAGCTCCGACAAATGTTTGGGATTGCTTGCACTGCCAAGGCGATTAACTCGGCAAGCTGCAGATGTGTTGGCATAGCCAGGCTGCGGACTGAGCCGAGAGAGACAGAAATCAAGTATGGTGGACGTGGCCCCAGTGGAATCAAATCATCACCTGGATTTGTGTGAGGTGCTTCACACATCGGATTATGCAGTGTGTGTGTGTTTTTTAATGTTCAAGCTATAATTGCTTTTTTTTTTGTATAGATCTATTTAGATGTCATTATGTTTCTATTTGTTGATGGGCAATGCACTTATTGACCATGGGGGCTCGCAGGTCATGTTGGGGTGTTGAGCCAGGGGGGAAACCAAGTTGGCTGGCCGACATCGGCATGACTGACCGTTCGCTTCTGAGAAACCAACGCAAAATCCATGTGCGCTTTGGTGCGTAAATAAGATACAGGTGTGCTTGGTGATCCTGGGGCACAAGTCTTTGGGATGAATGGCACCACATTTCTTTGCCAGCTGGCGCCATTGGCTCTTTCGGTACCCGTCCTTGAAAATGGACAAAGCCTGAAAAGGTGCGACACAGAAAGACACCGCAGCTGCTGGACCTTCAGATAACCAGGTAACCACCTATAGATTCTCAGATTAAGAACTTTCCAAGAATGTTTGACGAAGAAACCAGAACACGTGAGCCAGCCCAGGATCCCTAAGAGGCCCAATAGATAGAATAGGCACGAATCGGCAACGAAGGCATTCTTAGAGGGACATTTATGTTTGTTCTATTTTCGTGTCACTGTCATTACGGCCTGTTTACAAACCCTGCCCTTAGTATCTAGTTGGTATACCAGCAGATGTGTTTCTTTTTCTCCAGGCATCTTCCCCTCTTCGTTGCCTGGCAGAGAAGCATCCTCCTTTTTTTCCGGGTGATTCCTGGCACACGAATCCGCCTCCCATGGGCTCCCCGGCACGTGCGCTGAAGCCCGAGCGAAGTGGGTCACTTCGCTCGGGGCCGTGCGTGGACTCCATTCCTTGTGTGCTGCTGGTCTTCTCCGTGGTCGCTGGGGCGAAATGCGCTGGAAATGGTGGCAAATGTTGTTGGGAATGTGGTGATAGGGTTAAGATTGGCATGCTATGTCTCAAAAGTGACGATGGAGGGGTTCGTGGACCTTCATGAAGTGGGGTTGGACCCAGTGTGAATATATACGTCGCTATATAGGAAAGGCGGGACATATCATCACAACTCCGATGTCAGCAGGCCAAAAGGGTATAGAAACAGACCTGGTAGCTGGATTTATGCTGCACAAGTGTTTGAGTTTTGTTGATTTCGAGATATTGAACCGCAAGTGACATACCAGGAGCCCGGCAGGTATGTCAAACCTTTAAGGAGTCCACATGTGGCAGAAGGTCCACTACTTCCGTGCCATCCTCCTGTGCTGCTGCAAACTTGACAACGCTACCCGAAATACCCCCACGCAAACTAACATGGAACCTGAGAATTGACCGGTGGAAGACTATTTTCCTCTACAACTCGGTGGTTTTGGGGGTCCATGTTGATCTGCAGGGGAGTATTTGAATGTTTTGGTCATGGGCACCGGACCGCAGATTTAAAGTGACGTCTCGTTTGATGGCTGAACACCTACGAACGCCCCTGGAGCAAATGCTGCCGTTCTTTTAGGGGTTTCTTCTGCCATCCGTTTCTTTGACACTACCCGAACGCACTGTGAGGTTGGCACCCAGCACATCCTCCAAAGCTTCAGTTTGTTGGTCTTGGCGCTGTCAGGGGCTTTGGGCATTGCCATCGTAGTGGCCGTCCCCAAGGCAGACTCTTCAAAGAAGGGGTGTCCCATGGTATGCCATGGTGTCCATTTTGTCCTTTTGTTTGTGTTCATTTTTTTTCGGGCTCCCGCATGCCTTTCGAAATTCGAGGTGCTGTTTTGTTTTCCCCCTTTGAATAGGGGTTCTTTTCCATGGCTTGTTGGACTTGAGTTGGAGGTCTGTCAGACTCCTGCCATAGTCCCCGGGCTGCCTATTGTTTCGCAAGTGTTGCACGTCGTACTTCTTAGGGCCGGGATTTCACACAATCCAATTTTAGACTCTAGACTCTAGACCACAAAATCAGTAAGCTCCAAGATCCCTTTGTGTTTATTCTGGGCGACCTGGCCGCAATCACAAACCATCATCTGTGGTGAGACCCGACGCATCCACTCACAAACTGAATGGTATGGCCCCGTTCACAGGTCATGCTTTCATGTCAGCCAGCGGGAGGGCACCTTTTTGGCAACGGTCCTACGTCCTTGGCTCGACAAGTAAGATACGGGCAAGCAAGGAAGAATTCATTTCTCATTAGCTTGGATCTTACTTGGGTGAAAACTCATCAACATGTTTGTCATGTTAATGTATTTTTCTTGGACCCATGTGTGGTCCAGGTGTGGGCCAAAATGTGTGTGATTGGCACGGTTGTTCAAGATGTCCGATGTTCCATTTGGCTAGGGTGTGCTGAAGTGGCTCACTACAATCTTGACCGCCAGCTTCTTGATTCTGGCATCTTATGTCGACACTCTGGAGAGGGTCGCAAGTGTCGCAGCCATGCTATGTGAGATACCCATGCACCCAAACATTCCCTTCAACCTAATTGCGTTGCAGTGCAGCTAAGCCGGTAGCAGAAACCGTTGTGACATAAGCAACGAAGATGTAAGGTTGAAACTGTTGAAACTGCACAGCCTTGATCATATCAAATGTCCTAGCAGGATGGAACATGAACGAGAGAGAGAGAGAGAGAGACAGAGATTGGGAGAGTATGTGTAGCTGTTTATTCACACCCGCCAGATTCCAACATGATGTCCATCGATATCCTGGTTCACAGACCCGCTGGAGCTGGTGTGGGTGATTGTCCCACCCCGCGAGGACAAGCCGTGGGAGCCACCTCCTGCACCCACCAACGGTGCCGCGCACACAGCCAGCGTTGAAAGGGTAAAGAGAGGGTACGATCAGGCAGGGTCAAGGGTGAGCGAGATGGGCTTTCTATTATAATACAATATACAAATATATATATATATATGTGTGTGTATTATATGTGTGTATACATATACATACACACACACACACATATATATATATATACATACATATATATATAATACATTTGTGTGTGTGTGTCTCAACAATGAGCTTCGTCCGGCTTTCCTTAGTTTTTTCCGATGCCTTGAAAACGTTCAATTATTTATCATCACGTTCAAGGCATAAGGCTTGTGGCCATTTGTGAACTAATTTGGCGACCACAGATTTGTTTGCACTTTGGGTTCCCAAGCTGTGGAGCAAGATTCAATACAACGGTGGATGTGAACCTGCTCTTGGGAGGACGCGTTTAGGACCTCCAACTCGGTCCAACTCGGGAACTAGGCCTAGGCAAGACAAGATATAGGATGCAAAACACATGCAAGATGTTGGATAACAATGAATGACAACTCCAGATTCAACGGCTCCTTCCAAATTGCGCCGTGGGAGTCTGTTCCAGACCACCTCTCTTGGTCACGTCGCCCAACACTGAAAAACTAATCACCTGTGATGTCATTCACCACTTGCATGTGGTCTATGTGCCTGATAAATCCCAGCTGAACACAGGATGCGCGGCCATGGCTTGGTAAGACGCTCAGCGTGGTTCTCCCCTGTGCCTTTGAGGGAGAGTACGCCTCACGCACCGTGGAGTCAGCTTCTTGGCCTAGGGTAATCGAACGACCGCATGCCATCGCATGCTTGGTGAAACAGGGTTCAGAAGCTCTAAGGATGGAAGAGAAAGATGGACATGTTCCGAACATGAAAGGACAACAGATGATGGATGATGATGGATGATTTATGGTCGTCGCAATGACGATGGTTGATTATTCATGGATGATGATGACGACGACGACGAGGATGATGATTTGATGTCTTTTAAACAGGAGACCGGCCATGTATGAATCGTTTATTTGGAGGGGCCTTCGTGACCTGAGCTGGGGTGTACTGGAGCGAAGTCCATCCCATTGAGCCTTGGATACCGAGGCTTACCCCTCCCACAAAAGGGTGATGTGATGTTGAAGGTTTCGAGGGGAAGGGTGTTGAACAGGACCGAGTGATAGACATGTTGAGTTCGTCGCGTCGATTCGATTGATTATATATTTAATTAAAGATGCAAGCTTTAAGGCCAACGTGCCAAGTATCCCTATTGAGTGGCTGAGATTGAGATTAAGTCTAGTTCTTCAAAGGGGAAGGTGGCCATGGCCTACACTTAGATCCAGCATTTTGTGCTGCGCCTAAGGTCTGGAAACATACAAAGAAGAATCGCTTGAAGGAGATCATTGTGGTGGATGAACCTGGTCTGGTCTTGTTTCGATCACACCATATTACACCGGTGTAATCGTTTCTGTCGAGGGGCCTTCCGTGCACCATGGCCATGAAGGGGCGGGCTGACTGGGAAATGCCCGTGCTGCAGAAAGAAGTTGTGTCATTGCATGGCTCACTTACTGAGTGGACACATGCAATGAGTGGATTTGTATTGCGAGTGGATGTGAGCCAAGGATGGCAGCTCACCAAAGCTTCCAGCACTTGGTTCAGCATTTTTTATTTTTGCTTGCTTTCACTGTGCTGTGAGATGGCCAAGTCCGCTAGCTAGCCGCCAGCAGCTAGCACCGGGTTCCTGTATTGTTCTTTAAACTTTAAACCTAACCTTTCTCAAGTCAATGTCACAAGAGCCACTTCAGCAGCGTCACACACCCTCAAGAAAAGAGTTTTGATGAGCTGTGGGCATTGGCCCGCAAAAGCAACAACTCAGGGCACGGAAGCGATTTGGGTTTGTTGTTTCGAATGTAGTTGTGGAAGCTTTGGTGGAACACATGATCATGTTAAAGAAACAAGCTTTTTGCTGCGAAAGTGGCGAGAAAGTAAATATGTTGAAAAGGCCCGTGAAAAAAAAGAACAACACTGTTCCCAAAGGCAGCGGGAAAGCCTTTGGGCGAAAGACCCGGCTGATTCTTGTGTAACTCCACCGCAAACCATGGAACGACACAGCTCAATTCGGTTGCACATGCTCTACATTTTCCACAGAATGTACCAAGCCAACAAT